GATAATTAAAGGAATTATTAAATGTGACCCTATTAAAATTATTGGAAGACATTTTTGTTTAATATAAAGCAGATGAAATATAACACTTTATAATGTATATGAGATAAATACTGGTTGAGAAATTACTCTTAAAATTATCTGCCTATCTGGTTGTCTATAATTTCATTCAGGGGGATACATAGTCTCAGGCATAAACTAACTCTAAAGTAGCAGAGTAGTAATGAATTATCTGTTGTAGTAACATAATCTGTGGCTTGAGAATTGTAATGCACAAAAATGTAAATTTACTCTGAAAATTCCCTTCGACCCAGATATACATTGTAAAACCATGTGATTATCCATGGTTGATATAATTTAACCTTTCATCTATTTCATTGCTCTGTTTGAGGATATCTGTAGTCTTAGATTGTAGTAGACACTTCAAATTTTATGACTTAAGATGTTCATATATCAAAAATAATAAAAAATATGAAAAGGTTCATAAAATGTCTATTCATGTCATGCTGGTTAGGTTATTATAACAGTCATTTCATGATTTTTATGTTTTGAAATCAACTTTATCTTTAAAGCAATAAAAGCTCTATAAATATTGTTTCTCCCATTGCAAAAAGATTAATCTTCACTGATTTTGCGATTTGTCAAACTTAATTTTAAATCAATATGATCTAATTTTATCTCCACCAACTTTAAATTTAAATTCTTGATTTAAATAGCAATAATTATATGTATAATAAAATGTTTCAAAAGGGAATGTGGGCTAGAAAAAGTTGAAAAATATTTCTAGTCATAGGTGTTTTATTATTAAAATTTCACAGAATATTAAAGTTGAAAATTAAAGTAGATGCAGATAAACTTCATGCATTCCAATTTCACTTTTTACTTTATGAGATAATACATAAATTGATTTTCTCATAAAGCTGGGAGAAATTATGATTTTATTCAGTCAGCAATTATATTGAGGTTTTTATTCAGTCTTACACTCACGTATTAAAAGGAAAGTTGGAAGTTTTCTGCCTTGATAGACTTGATCTTACATTACTGAAAAGCTTATTGAAATTCTCAGTGAAAAACAATGAAAAGATAATTTTTTTGTAGTCTAGTCCTTAAATTTTTTAAACAAGCCTAACAAATGTTTATTTTCAAGACATATTTTGATTTTTAGCATATGAATAGAAAGCTATTACTTACATAGCTTGGATGAAGGGTATTTTTTGTTAAAACTTTGTAATGAAAGCAGCTGTATAGTGTCTCTTAATACTTAAGTAGATGTGATGAATTATTCAGTGCCTAACCTACCTTGGATTTATAATCTCTGATTTTCTATGTGGTTTGTTCTTTTCATAGCAGCAAAATATTTTGTTCATTTGACAATTCTTTTGAGAAATTTAAATTCGTGTTAAAATCAAAATATTAATTTCATGAAATTGAAGCACTCCGTGGTAAACATAGAGAGCAAAGTGAGTTTTGCAAATTCATAATTACTGTAACAACTAATATTAGTAAATTCAATTTCTGATTTTACCAACTTTCTATAAAAGTATTAACAAAATAATTCATTGGATTGGCTTCTAGATTCTTTAGTTTTTGACACGTGGTTATATATTAAAATTTTATAAATCTATTAAGCTCAAAAATTCACAAAAGTCCATTTATTCCTATACATTAAAAAACAAGTAGAACAATTGTTTGCAGTTTTTCTCATTGTTTGGATTTAAGGAATGTTTATGATCACAAATATACATTTAAAAATACATATCTAACATATGTTTAGGTAATTCAGTTAACTAGGATATATCAGTGTCAGATTTAGTAAAGATTGAAAGGAAAAAATAAAATATTGTGATGAGTTAATTGAATATTGAAAAAAGTTTGGCAGGATGACTTCATTTTTAAAAGCCATTTTGTGTTTAGATATTCAGGAAATAATCAGTGTTGATATTTGAGAATTTAGACTTCATTCAAAAGGTGGTAAAATCAATATATAATTAGGAAAACTAAAATTTTAATGAATACAATGTTAGGAAAAGATTTAAAATTTTACTGTAATACATTTCCTAAAATTTTTAAATCAGATTTTTAGTTATTTTGTTTAAAAAAAGAACACTAAAGCTGAGTAAAACTCGTCTGAAATATAATAAAATGAAAATTATAGGCTTTTTTCAAAAAGTTATTTTTTAATTAAAAACTCAAATAATATTTCAATTAGTTTGTTTTCAATAGTGTAAAGCAGGCTTACAAAAGAAATAATGATATTGGAAGTGCTATATTCATATTTATTTGAAATATTTAATATTCCTAAATATTAAATACATTCTCTTAAATAGTGTTTTTACAAAATAATTTGTAAACCTGTAAGATATAGCAGCTGTAAAGATAAATTTCAAATATTCCTGAATAAGTTATAAATTAATGGGACTAGAATTTATAAAGAAACATTTTGTTTTATTTTTAAAAAGTTATGTGTTTGAGCATCATTTAGAGTTGGGAGAAGTCAGATGTTATGTTTATATTGCCTGGGGTGGCAGTGAACCTTTATTGCACTGAGAAACATGGCAGGTATCAGTCACACACATCAATAGCATGCACCTTAGAAAACCTGGTGGAAAGCATGTAAGACTGCCTGTGACATATAAAAATCTTTGAACATATCCCAAATTTATCTTACAAAAATTTAATCATTGTTGGTAAATTATAATAATTTGTAACTTACCTCACAGTTCATAGCTAAACAGAGGTCGCTGAGAAAAATGAGCCTGTGTTTAGCAGTTTTATTTTAGTGCCATCCACAAAGATTTAATTTGCTTTTCACACACACTCTTGTGGATCTGTGAAAGCAGAGTGTAGTGGCGGAGACTGCATCTGTGGGGTCAGCCTGTCATGGTGGAATGCTTGTTGAACCACTCTATAAAAGCAGAGAGAACATTTTATAAACATCAGCAATTGCAGTGTTTCCAAAACTGACCAACTCAATAGAATCACTTTCTCTTGAACAGCGTGTTAAATATAGACTCCTGGACCAAGACAGACCTGAGTTAAAATCCATAGTTCAGAGACCTGGCAAGTGGTGTTTTCCCCACACAGCCCAGATGATCAGAGCAGTTGGGGAAACCTGGTGTTCATTTTGTCTTGCTTGGCAGAACAGCTAATTTCAGTTGAAGCCTTCCGTTACTGTCCTATTTTCATTCTTTCACATTTTTATTGAGTTATGGTATGTAGCTTATACTCTAGGGGGCATTGAAGATGCATAGTTAGCACATGAATCCTGCCTAGTTAACAATCTCTAGAGTTCGTAGTACTGGGTTGGAACAGAGTTGTAATAGCCTTTAAAAGCTGTTGCTTTTGATTGCAAGGTAGACGCACTCTTAGTTCTAGCTGCTGTAACAGAATACCATCGACTGAGTGGTTTATAAACAACAGAAATTTATTTTTTATAGTTCTGGAGGTTGGGAAGTCCAAGATCAAGGTGCCAGTAGATCCATTACATGGTGAGAACTGGCATTCTGGTTTATAGACAGCCATCTTCTCTGTCCTCACCTGGCAGAAGGGGCCAGGGAGCTCTCTGGGGCTTTTTTTTAATAAGGGCATCAATCCCATTCATGAGGTCTCTACCCTTAACACCAAATCACCTCCCAATGGCCTCACTTCAAAGTATCATCACATTGAAGGTTAGCTTTCGACAAATGAATTTTAAGAGAGACGCAAAACATGCACTATAGCAGGCGCCTTGATACATCACACTAAAGCCTGGAACTTAACAGGTATCACTCTTAACAGAATCAGAATACATGGTATTGTGTTTTATCTGCCTGTGCTTTTCATGAAAGTGGATTGTTTGTTTGTTTGTTTTAAGATGCTATGGCATATTCATGACACAGTTCCACTCATTAGTAGCTCTCCCTGCACCTCTGCTTTTTACTATTTCATTTTATTTTACCGTTATTTCATCTCTTTTTATAATATATCCAGTGGTTTGGTTACTGAATTTTTGTGTGGCCTTTTACAACCTAATTAAAAATAACTATGAGATTGGGTTAATGGGGAATAATTATTTTTGTGTACTTTATAATTATATATTGATATAGTTCAGTATCATATTTAGGCTAATTATAAAATGTAATCACTAGTGTAATCAATATCCAATGTAATGTAATCAATATCCAAGGTGATTGACTACTGCCTCAAGCTATCATTTTAAAATTCAACTTTTACTTGCCGATGACTACAACTTCCCTTAATTTGTGGATATATTATTCTCTGATTTGGTAGCAACAGTTACTTAAGTAAGAAAATAAAATGTCCCACAGTAAAGTCTTTGAAGATAAAGATAATAAAAATAACAGAAGATAGTTGAGAAAGTGGTCACACAATTGTTTTCAGCAATTAATACTGTTCATGACTCTCCCACTGTAAACTAGTTTTGACTTAGGGGTAATTTAATCATTAAATGTTTTTTTCTCTTTAATTTCAATATATTAAGAAGTCTGAGGATTGTCAGGCTTCCCTTTGGAAATTTCTTTGCGGTAGCTAGTACATAATCTACTAGTTTCCATTCTGGAAAAAAAAATTGAAAAACTATAAAAGAATTCAGTAGGTGTTGAATCAAGTATTTAATATCACCATCTTTTATAAATAAAGCGCTCATGATTAGAAGTTATTTTCTCAGTGACACTTTTTCCCTATCATTAGTGTGTTATGAATGACTATGGGATAAAATAAGAAATTAGTATATATGTAAATTCTTTTTGATTTCTATACTTTTTAAAGGTATTTGATTCTAAGAAATACATCTCTTCTAAAACAAGTGTGCTGTGCGTAATGCCCGCTGTTGACCAGGCATTATCTTTCGAAAGCTAAATTGGGTTTAGTAGGCTGAGCGTTCCCATTTAAATCTGTAGGTTAGTTTCAATGCATTAAGCTCATTTACTGTCTGGAGCAGATGGATGAACAGTTATAACATGAATACTAAGCCCTTTCATCCTTTACCTCTGCTTTTGTTCCAGAAACCCTTGAAACTCTCATCAGACAAGCAGAAAACTATACCAGCATCCTATTTTGCAACACCTACAGGAACATGGCCTTAGAGGCTGCTGCTACAGTTCAGGAGTTCTTCACTGATGTAGGGCTCTATCTATTTGGTGCGGATGTTAATCCTGAAGAATTTGTGAACAGATTCTTTGACAGTCTTTTTCCTCTAGTCTACAATTATCTCATTAACCCTGGTATAACTGACAGTTCTTTGGAATACTCGGAGTGCATCCGGATGGCTCGCCGGGACATTAGTCCATTTGGTAATATCCCCAAAAGAGTAATGGGGCAGATGGGGAGGTCGCTGCTGCCCAGCCGCACGTTGCTACAGGCACTGAATCTGGGTATTGAAGTCATCAATACCACAGACCATCTGCACGTCTCCAAAGAGTGCGGCAGAGCTCTCCTGAGGATGCAGTACTGTCCTCACTGCCAGGGCCTGATGCTCAGCAAGCCCTGTATGGGGTACTGCCTCAACGTCATGAGAGGCTGCTTGGCATACATGGCAGAGCTCAATCCACACTGGCATGCATACATTCGGTCATTGGAAGAGCTGTCGGATGCCATGCATGGGACATATGACATTGAACACGTGCTCCTGAACTTCCACCTGCTTGTTAATGATGCTGTGATGCAGGCTCACCTCAATGGACAAAAGTTATCAGAACAGGTAAGCAGCCACTCCACATTTTCTGTCTGATTTTTTAGAATTCAGGGATTAGCTATATTCATAAAGTTTGTTGACTATAAGCTCATGATTATGTACTTTACAATTATAGCAGTTTTACAAGTTAATATTTTAGGAAGTAGTAGGAGAATACATGGTTCATCATATTCAATTCAAAGTCTATTTTTATATCTTATATCAAAATTTTCCTTAGCTAAAATATCACTTTCTCCACTATGTAGAAGCTTTCTCATAAGACTACTTTAGTGAGGTAGAGGAGGCTCAGGTTTCAAATCAGGACTGGCATGGATTTGAATTTGCTGTTTGCCTATAGGTTACAAATCCCTTAGATTCTTTGAGCCTCAATTTTCTTAGTGGTAAAAGAGAATAGTAATACATAACTTTTGGATTATTATTTTTTGGGAAAATGAATGCAGGCTACCCAGTATGGTGCCTGGTACTCAGAAAATGGATAATTATTGTTAACATTTCAAAGATATTCAGCATTAAAATAGAAAATGCCATTTATATGTTATCTTTAAATGAAGACTCGATACTTGATAGCTTAGTGTTCAGAAATGTTTCTTCAGAGATGCTCCCGAATCTGTTACAGCGATGGTGTGATAATTTTTCAAAATGTATGTAAAACATAATATCACGGTGTTTTCTTTCAAGAAGACTTTAAGAAACAAAATTATCTATTCAGAGGACATGAGAATTTTCTATTTCTTTCTCCTTTCTTAAATATTCACAGGCTCCCATAGTGATAGTTTTCATATCCCATTCACAGAAGCAGGACATGCTGCTGATATTCATCCTAAATCTTTTCTCCTGAAATAAAATGATACTCCTCTCCTTACCCTGGAACTGATTTACTGAATTAATAAACATTCTCATTAGTAGTTTTATAAGACAGTTCTTTTAATTAAATTCCCATAGAAATCGGACCCTGAAGATCTTTATGTCCAACCACCTCTTCCCTTTTCTTCCTAACTTTCAGGGTCTTTGCAGCTCTCGTGTGAGCCTGAGTAGTACCTTTATACAAGTTAGGAATAACGCCCCCGTTGGGTGGATGCCACCTCATGATATGGCTTGGTGGATAGAGGGCGAGCTGGATTTCAACTCCCACTCCCCTTTTCATTCAGCTGGGTATCCTTATAGGTACTAACCATATGTAGTGGTCCTGTCTTTTTGCAATCTCTCATCTCTTTACAGAAATCAGACATGCGCCAGAACTTTTGGAAGGGATGTAATAAAACAACTCAAAATGAGATATAAAAGACTTTTAAGGTTTAAAATATTTTATAGTTATGAGGAATAAACACTTAGATCCAGGAAACAAAATGTTGATATTATGATATTGAGTATCTCCAAAAGAGAAAATAGGCACAAAAAATCTGAAACCAAGTTCAGATTTAATATTAATTTGGGGCATGCCATTTAATCTTTCAGGGCCAGAATTTTCTAATATATATAATACCGAATAGATTTTTAAGATTCTTTTTGTTATGTATTTTGGAAATCTGAATGGCCTTTCTGTATCTTTAAAATGTATCACATAGGAAATTATCTATTTTTTTCTATTTCAAAGATTAACAAAGGTACATGGTTAGATAGTCATGTTCTCAAGTCTTGAGTTTGCTATGCATTGGTCATATGGCCTGGGCAAGCTACTAAAACCTTTTGCATCTGTTTTGTCCTGTGTAAAGAAGGGAGTAGTTTAAATGGAATGGTGTTGGTAAGGCTCTACATTTGTAAGCTCTTGCTACCTGAGAACCTTGCTTTTTTCTTTTCCTGTTCTTGGCCATCCCTGAGCAAACCTCAGTGAAGCAGGTTACTGCAGTATCTCACAGGGTTAGAATTATCATTGTGCTTGTGTTTTATAAATAAGAGTTAAACAAAACTTTTGTCGTATGAAACTTCATGGTGGATTTTCAAAGAGCATTGTTCTCTTTTAAGCCAATAGGTGGATTTCGTATCATAAATAGTCCTATGACTATCTTGAGTAACATTAGTCATTACTAAAAAATTGTAGATTCTTTTATAAATGAAACAGCAGATTCTCTTTTTGACTTACAGTGACAAAAGGAAGTGAAACTAACTTTAAAGTCCTTGAAAATTTGTCTCATTAATATTTATTTCTGCCAATTTCAAAGTGATTTATAAGCTGTTTATCAAGGTTTGATAACCAGTTCACACATCAATGAATTTAACAAATTCAAAATAAATTACTGGAGAGCCAGCAAATAATGACTTTCTTATAGTCCCAAAATAATCTCTGAGGTTTAGTAATTCCAAGTCTAATCTCTGTAAATACATATTTCCACTTTAAGAAATTCATAGAGGTACTTGATGTATAATATTTTGGTTGGATGAATTTTGACTGGAAAAAAATGTTCTCAATTTTCTGAGAAAATTATAAGTATTTTCTTTTTGGTAAACCATAAGAGAAACACATGCCTGATGATCTCTGAATCTTTCATCTTTTGGAAATTTGCCCCCTGCACATGGGAAGCTCCAATTTGGCCCTTCGATAATCTCTTCTGAGGTGAAATGATTGGCAGTAGTAATGGCCAATGAAGACCCATATACCTCATTAGGTATGTCTAAATTTTTTGTAGGAACACATTAGATAACAAGCTTGCAAATTTTTTAATATATATTTCATAAAACTTTGAAAACGTTACACAATTTGTGATTCTTTCTGAGAAATATTGTGATATGGATTACTTGAGAATAATTACTGATACCATAATTCTTTGTTTTTCTACCATATTTCCTAAGAGAGTGGAATCGGAATTTTTTACATGTCTTGTGAAGGTCTGAAGGCTTATAAAGATGTCTCAGAACAGTAGTCCATCAAGTTTGTGGACATCTACAGTTGTTAGATAAGTCATCCTTACAGTGAATGAATATCTGCATCCGAAGCTCCCTTGGGCGTACTCTAGAATGTAATTCTTTGGAGACAGAGAATAAGTCTTAGTCATCTAAAACTTCAGATATTTGAAACTTATTATTCTGCCTTTTGGCCTGACATCTTTTTAGGCTATCCATTCTCATTTTAGTGAATTCTTCTGTATACTGTTTTCTTTTGAAGAACACTACTTTAACCACACAGCTCTGTCTTGCTCTCCTGGAGGCCTTACTGAGTCAGGATGGAGTTGGCTAGATCTGAGGGACTATTGGGATTGACAGCTGGTGGACACTGGGCATGTATCTTTCCATTCTCTTCACCATCACAGCCAGATGTTCCTCCTTCCTCAATCTGGTGTCTGTATGATTCCTAGATGTGGTCTCAGACCTCTGCCAAATGTACTTTTTTTAAAAAAAAAAATAAAGAATGAAAGGATACTTTTCAGAAATGTGAAGATTTTCCTCAATTAATTTTTGTGCCATGTATGCATTTGCTTTGATAATTTATCAAGGTTTCTTGAGCCAACAGATCTCTCATCCTAATAACATGAGCTTTTTGTCTCCTAGGAGTGAGAAGGTTTTAATAATACCCAGTGATTCTTTTAATTCTTCTAAAAAATAATTTTGCTTGCATTTTATAAATGTATAACTGTTCGTATGTGTCACTGATATTTTCAGTTGGTTTGGAATGATTATCCTCCACCTTAATTGGGGTAAATTCTCTCTAAATTGGATACTGCATAAAAATTTGTTTCTTTTTCTTGACGAAGTTCAGAAAGGACTTGGTATTTCTGTTGGCATTTTTGCCTCTCCCTTTCTACCTGGGTGTTTTCTGAATGCAACAATGCTTTCTTGGTTGGAGATTTTTCAAATGATTTTTAAGGGCGCTGATAATTTTATCTCTACAGTTAATTTTGGTACATCTGTTGTCTTTTTTTCTTCTAGAGTTTGTTAACTGGTATTTAACTCAGTCGTATAAATCAACAATCCTTTGGGTTCATCAATTAAAAGGTCTCTATTTTCTGATGCCTTTGATATATCCAATTCTATGTCCTACAGTCCATGTTGTCTTTCCCAGGAATAGCAGCTGAGTGGCTCATCTCTAGCAAGTGCCCACCTAACAGGCTTGATATGACTTTGCTGTTAAGACCTCACTCCCTAGGCAGGTTTTCTGATTTTTCTCTCTTTAGTAAATTTGCCCTCTCTTTCCTTCCGTTTTTGAGATCCTTATGAAAGCAGCTTTATGCTTCTCTGAAGACTGGAATTTTCCTCTAAAGCCTTTGTCATTGTTGTTGGAAGCTGTTCTCCATGGTTTTTGAAGGCTGTCTTAATTGCAGCTACTTGATGTTGAATTTGTTTGCATGTATCTCCTATAGAGTTAATCTTGCTTATACTGTCAGCCATCAGCTGAATTGTATACATTTAGGATTTTCTCATGCTTTTTGTAAGTATCTAGTTTAAGCCCAAATGAAGAGCTGTAGCTTTCCAGATCTTTATTCATGGTTTTCACATTTACTGTGTCCTATAGTAAGTTCTCAAGTTTGACTTCCAGTATGGTTAATTTAAGTTCTCCAAACTCTCTTACAAATTGGCAAAACTTCTCAACAATGTGTTTGTTTTCCCTCTAGAGGGACAGACACTCCAGTGGCCGGCTCCTGCACAGTAATAGAAGGCCTTCAATACAGAAATTTGAACTCTGATTACAAAAACCACATCCAAAAACCACAGCATTCCTTGGGGAGTTAGGCCTGGGCTAAGCTCCCCTGGCACAGACTCCATTGTGGAGCAGGGAGCCTCTAGGATCTGCATTACACAGAGCATCACAGCATCAGTGGACCCTTCATAGACCCAAAGATGCCAATGGCTCACCTCAGGTTGCCATGACTCTGTGACCACAATAGACTGCACAGCCCCACTTTGAGTATGTCTTTCCACATCTGTAAGTGTTCTTGTGTGGGAAGCTCCACAGTGGAGAGTTCAAGCTTTACTAGCCACTGATCCTCTGTTTCTTCAATAAGCTTTTCATTTTGTGGCCTTGGAGACCTAATCCAACTCATGATGATCAAAGAAGACACTGACTCTCAGTGTCT